GAAAAGGAGAGACTGATGTAAAATTTAGTTTAGAGAATCTGCATCGATGTAAAGTACTTTTTATACATATAATCATATTTGTTTCTTAGGTTTTCACGCACATCACTCATTAAATAAAACTAGTTTTTACGGGTTAATGCACGAAACTTTTTTTATTTATTGACGTTTCGTAGCTTTTATAGGCTTCGTCGTCAGAATAAAAAGTTTAATTTTCAAATACAATATACGTGTAAATGAATATTTTGGTGTCGATTATGGCAGCGTTATCAACCTAAACTTAAATTTACCGGCAGTGTATCCTTGTCATTCTCCATACAGAATGAAAAGAATAGATTGATGTTAAATTTAGTATTAAGCTCAGATAATCATCCCAGAATCGACACCTTTGATTGGTTAAGTTACAGATTGTGAATGATCTCAGAGGCGGCTCTACCTATAGTGCAGGGTGTGCGGTGCACACGGGCGCCGGGTCTAAGGGGGTGCCTCTATATACGACACCTCTAAAGATACGTGAGTCGTCGCTCGCGGACCCTGCCAGCCTTTCGGCCGATGCTGCCACCATAAGTTTCGGATTTACCTACTCTACAAAATTACTTTTATTTCAACGTGAAATCAGCCTTAAAACAGATAATTAAAGATTATATTGGAGTACTGTCGCATCAGTACCTGTTGCTGTGCCTGTGCCGACACCTGTTTTTGACTCGTTTGAAAATACGCCGACCATCATTGCTAACTCGGCTGTATTAGAATGACTAAAAGTTCAAATTCAAATAGCAAGGGACGCTGTGGCAGTAATTTTCAAAGGCTTTCTGTTCGAGTGCCGCTAAGGATATTGCTCAGCTTCCATACATGTTTGGCCTAAAGACCAATAATCATGAAAAATTGTTTCCTAGATTCGAAATTATATATAAATTACTGTAGAAACGAATATTATTGACGGACACCCCTGAGAACTTCCATAAACCATATACACTGAACATATTAAAATAATAAAAAACAAATAAGTTATATAGTAAACTAAGGAAATAAAGCTAAGTACCGAATTTATGGATTAGATTCAGGTATATAGAGCATGTAGATTAACAGATAGTTGCCTGTTTTTAAAGTTATTGGTGCCAATTCTGGCGTGATTCTCTAAACTTAAATCTAAATTTAAGATCAGTCTCTCCTTTTTATTCTTTATAGTGAATGACAAGGATATACTGCTGTCAAATTTAAGTTTAGGTTTAGAGAATCATGCTAGAATCGGCACCAATGCATAAAAGTAACTTTTAAAATCAGGTGTCATTTCCGGTTATATTAAGGTACTCTGTGACAGAAACTGTGTGATGATTGTGAATGAAGCACAGATTAGAGAGAATTTTTAAACTCTCATTAACCAAAGAAAGCAAAGAGATTTAGGTTCTATAGCCATATATTCAGTAGCTTAATATTTTTTTTTATGTTTTTAAGATAACCATATTTTACAATTTTAGTGTATCACGCCTTATAATTTTATTTATTTATAAATTTATAGTCGGGGAACGTAGGCCCATTGATAGAAACCTTAAAGTCTAACATACAATACAGATTATAATGTGTTTATGGAGGTATTTGGCGAAAAATGTATGGCAATAGACTTTATGATGTCGCCTACCATCTTTAATAATTGTCTTAGCACATTTGCATCTAGTGAAAATGATAATATAGTAGTGGATATTAATAACACAGTGATAAAAAATGATTTATTTCATCGATCTTTACAAAATGGATTTGTTTTTATGTTATATAAACAACTTCGATCAGTCTTTGGCTGAATGTTACTACACCCATAGCTATTAAAAATGATTCGTATGTTTTCCAAACCGGTAAAATTAAAAGTCCTTTTTAAAGTAAATATATTATACAAAGTTGTCCATTGAAATCTAATGACTGTAAATTAAATTATAAATTACGCCAAGAATTACCGTGTATGTCAATATTTTTTGTGCATTTGGGTCAATTTGAGCAATCTCCTTTTGTTTTACCGTTTACAGCTACTCCGTAGTTTTGCAAAATAAGCCTTGATTCAATGAATTTAGTATCATCTTTGAGTAAATATGAAGTAAGTCGGCTTTTCTTTTGATAAAAAATATATATTAGATATGATTTGGTTAATTTTTCACGCAATTATTGCGACATGCATTGGGATCAGATGTTATCAAAAACAGCTAGCGAAAAAAAAAAGAAACTATCTGGAGCACAGAGCCGAAAAAGAAAGCTGGAAAAGGAAGAATCTCTAAAAAAGAATACAAGTTCTATTGCAAAGTTTAAAGTTCGACCCGGTCCATCTTCGGACAAACACCTGGAGACAGAGACATTTGAGAACTAAGATAATTAATTCTACAGCAGAACTCGTCCCTTCAACGCCACTGCCACTGATGTCTATATCATCGGTAGTCGAAGAAGACGCAGAACCTCCTTGTGCCGAAGCGTCTCCGAAGAATATACTTCGAGAAGATGTAATGAATGATATGATGGTCACAGGTATCCGATAAACAGAGGATATTTTTGATGGAGCGTGGGCCAGTACAGATAAAATTGGGTTCATATCCTTTGAATAGTTAGAAAATATCTTTTTCAAATGCTTATTATACTAAAAAATTGTTGAAGAAATTGGCTGGTTTACTCTAAATCAACTGATTCTGTTTATAGTAAACTTTCTGGTGCTGATGTCACTCCTTTCAATACTGAAATAGGTGACAAAGATTGGCAGCATTTGTCTATTGCTGTAGAGCGTCATGAAAAGAACTTAGGGTACCTATCATGTCTTTAGAAACAAATCACATTGAAACTGTTATTTTAAAAGAAAACTCGGTAGATTTCTTGAACAAAAAAGTAATTATACGGGAAAAAACATTGGTTTGCAATACTCGAACGAATAATTAACATAATTCATTTTCAGTTAGGCAATGTGTTGCTTTTCGGGAAGATCTGAAAAAAAATTCCACTCTGATAATGGTAACTTTTTAAAGCTGGTTGAATATACCTCTAATTTTGATAATGTGCTTGCGGAACACATTGCCCTTCTTCGAAAATCTGAGTCACACTTAACTCATTAACTTGGCCATACTATTTAAAATGAACTAATACAATTATTAGGAGAAAGAATAAAAAAAAACTATTATTTTGGAATTGAAAGAATCCAAATATTTTTCAATTTCTTTAGATTGCACTTCAGATGTAACACACGAAGCGCAAATATCAGTTGTCTACGGTACGTCTTTAAATGCAAGTAACAACAAGGCTGAAGTAAAAGAACACTTTTTGGGGTTTTTTCCTATTACAGACACTACTGGCCTGGGTTTAACTGAATTTTTGTTAGATTTTTTTAATCTCAAACGAAATTGACATTCAAGATATGCGTGGTCAAGGTTACGTTAATAGTGCAAACATGAAAGGGAAAAATATAAGTCTTCAAAAACGAATTTTAGATATAAACCCGCGCGCATTGTAGGTACCATGTGCGGCACATAGTCCAAATTTGGTAGTGAATGACGCTGCTAAAAGTTTATTAGAAATAGTAAATTTATTTTCAATTGTGCAAGTAATTTGTTTTTTTTTTTGCATCAACAGCACGATGGCTAATACAGGCTAAAGAAGTGCCAACTTTCAGTTTAAAACCACTCTGAAATACTCGATGGGAGAGCAAGGTTGAAGCAGTAAAAGGTCTACGTTTTGAATTGGGAAAAGTTTATGATGTCTTGTTTACCATATATTCCGATAGGGGCAAAGATGCGGAGTCAAGGAATATGGTAAATTCATTACTGGGAAAAATGAAGTCGCTCAAATTCATCTGCTCTCCTCTTATTTGGTTTGAAATTTTAAGCAAGATAAATATAGTTAGCAAGGCACTTTAAAAGTCAGACGTTGTATTGTCAGAAGCGGTGAAAATGATTGATAATGCAACAATAAGTTTGTCTGAATTCCGTAATGACTCCGCTTTTGAAAAGCTCCTTAACAGTGCGAAAACTGTAGCGGAAGAAGTCGAGGAAATAGCAGAATTTCCCACACCTGCACGCGCTCGTTTCGTTTTTTTTCTAAGTTTTTGTTCTTGTGATTGAGGTTTAAAAAAATGCGTACTAACACAGATGTTATTGATATGGACTACCTCATAACATTAGTCCAAGAAAAGGAAATTCTAGGGCCAAGGAAGGGGAAGTAGTAGGGCCAACAACAGACGTCTTTTACGATCCATTTCTATTAACAGATTATCCAACGCTGCTGCGGCGTCGCTGTGACATCACAACGTTGCGGCGCCGCACCGCTCGTGTGCCTGCCGATACGGTGAAGTCTTTGCAGTGCAGCGCTACAACGTATCGTGTGCTCTCGCTCTAAGATATTATAGTTTTAAATTGAAAGAACTACAAATTTGTGATTTTTATTGTTATAATTTGCACCCGATTTTTTTATGAAAATATAACTAAGTATTCCATGTTGACCACTGGCGCCACAAGGGCTAGAAACGCCTCTGAATGGAATGATCCAATGTTTGTTTTTTTGTAAAATCTGTCGATGTTTGTTTTATCACTTGGCTATTTGTATCGTCAAAAGCACTTAATTAAATCTGGCTGATCGTCTGATTTCCAGTAATAAAAATACCAATCATTCATTTCATTTATTTTTCGTCACATCACTATGAATTTCTACCTATTACTTTTGTCATTCATTCTTCATTCCGCGCCTTTTTTTAAATTTAATTTTATACTAGAAAACTAACTTTTTTAAAATTGAAAATTCTTGTATTTTATGATAGGAAACACCATGTTTCAGCGGGATTGAAGTGGCAGATCGGTTTCTGCATGAGAAAACAACATAATTTTCCATTTTTGTGGGAGCTCCGACTCGCGATACGGAACGTTTCAAAATGATAGCGGTCCCGCGTGAACTAGTTTTATGTAACGCACATGGTCAGAGTGGCCATGTACGTTGGCGAAAGGGGTTGCCAGCCTATGCCTTCTCCATTGATAATTCACAGAGTACTTTTTTTATAGGTTGATTGACGTCACGTCATCGTCAGTCTGCGTTCTCATTATTTTTATTTATTTTGCGATTTCCAAAGTTTTTTTTAGGTTTTACAAATCAACTGTTGAAATAATATCACATCATAAGTAGTGATCTCAATTCTAAACAAAATGGACAATCAGTATTATTACAAGTTGATGGCAAGCTATCTATCAAAACGAAATTGTGACGAGTCTTTTATGAGATACTTTTTCGGTAAGAATTCTTTGAAAAAGACACCGGAGGAGTTAGAACGAGCTGATGAAAGGAAGCGGCGATTACAGCGAGAAAGGTCTCGTCGATATCGGGCGTTAAAGAATGCAAGACGCCAGCACGAGGGCGGCAGCGGGGGTGCTCGCGACGCCAGTGACGGCGACAGCTCCGCTAGTCGTGGCAAATCGCGAGCGTTGTTACTCGAGGAAGAGTTCAGCGACGGTGACGAGCCACCCACTCTTTGTGATCTCAATTACGAGGACAAGTGGCGAGGCGGCTCCTCCGACTGCCCGTCCGACGACAACTCTGCCCAGTCCGCACCCGATCCCAAGGAACCGCCGCTCACGGGCGATGTTACCCTTAGTCTTAAAGAATTTCTCAGCTCGCCCAATACAGAGCTTGATTATCCCACAGTGCACAGCCTGATGTTCCACTGGCTGCAAACGTAACATTACCACTGTCACAAACAGATTATTGGGGCTTTTGTTCTCATCAGCCCTCATCATATCATTGTGGATTCTAAATTATTTTATGATCTGTCTATCAAGTTCTAATTCATAATTGTGGTAACATAAGTTGAACTTTAATAACACATGAATGGAAAGTAGATGATTTATGTGATAGCCTTACACATATCGCATGAACATTAGGATGCCGCTTATATTGTAATAATATATAATACTGCACATCAAATTGACAAAACCGTCCTGTTATAATTTAAACTGACTAATAAGTAGTGAGTAATGTTAGTAGAAGTTTCATTGTACCTACTTGCTTCTATTTGTATTGGAGGTAATCTATGGAACTGAGATTTAAGTAAGCAAATTTGCTTTATGATAATGTCCATCGTGCTCTTCTAATGCTGAGCATCATCAAACTATTGATGCCATCTTGTGTGATTCACTTGTTATGAAGAAGTATTAAATTTGAATAAACAAAACTTGAAAATCTGTTGTGATCAAGTCTCTTGAGTTAAATGAAGTCGTGTTGTGTCAAAGGCGGACTTCTTCAGCAATTAGAATATTCCACTAGACAATAAGTCGTTGTTAAGTTGCCATATCCTAATATTTAGATACTCAACTATTATACATTATTATATATATGCGTATAGAAAAGTATAGAGTATATAAACCTATAGTTTGTGATACGAATGAATTTTACATTTTGTGTGGATCTACAATATTAGTTGTAACATAGGTTAAGAGTGAGTAGGTGCTCCTTGGCCGTACTAAGTGCACATAGCCTTGTAGCTTTTGTTGTAGAAGTGTGATAAAATTTGTGCTAAGCAATGATGACAGCAGTGTATATATACACTGATGCTACATTCCTGACAACAAACCTTTTGAAATGGACATAAATTTTGTTGATTACCTGCATGCATTTATTGTTAATACTCATTATATCAGTTACAGATTGATGCTCTCTTTGAAACAACCGATCAATGATAAGCAATATGCTTTTATGGTGGTGCAATTAGTTTGCTATGATTGGACAGATATATCATAAGTTGTTATTGAATAAAATGAGTAGCATAAGTTTATAATTGATACTAGGTTACAATTGAATAATGTTCAAGTCTCAATAAGGACCTGTTTTCAAAAGTGCTCTGTGATAATATAAGGGTTTTGGATTGTGGAAATGTGATTGGTTGATAAGTTCTTTGGTAGGCACATGTTCGACAGAGCACACAATAACATGGCTCTACAGGCCATAAGCTAACTATTGGATAAACAAGCAGCCATTGTTATTAATCTAAGAAAGTATTTCATTACAATGTTCTTATTAAATTTCATGTCACAAGGGTCATTATATTTAGTTTATAAAGATACATACAAAATAGGGATTGTATGTATTTTTATGCCTTTCTTTATTAAAGTTAACATAGCACTAACTAATATTCTTTCAGTGAATGTATTATCTTATTAAAGCACTAACAGCAAAGCCTCCCTTATTAGATGTAAGTACTGTAATCTTAAGTGCTTTGTTTTAATGAGAATTTATGACAGTTGATAAGCCTCATAAATCAACTGTATTCAAACAAGAGTAAATAAAATTGTAAATTTACATTTGTAATAATTATGTTGGTTTCCTGAGAGTTTAATGTAATAAAAGCCATATAATAAGCCATATTCGTTTAGTACAACATAATTTCAAAGAGGTACACTATTTAATTTGCATGTTTAATTATAAATAAATAATTACCTATATAAAATTATAACAGAGGTTTTATAGTGTATCACTTTAGCAACAGATCTGGCAGCTCACATTGTTGTAGAATTATTTTATGAAATGAAGAAAACTCGTAATTGTTGTTAATGGTGCGATGATTTTTAATTGCGTTTTAAAAGCGTATTCTGAACTGGCCACATGGTGCAGGCGGACACAATTAATGTTACGATACTTTACCAGTCACCGTAGCATGAGCACAACAATTTACATTAAATCACGTTTTTATCGTGTCGAACTGTCAAACTCCATAGTAATTTGACAAATGAGCGTGATAAAAACGCGTTATATATCATATCGCGGTGCTCAGGCTTGGGGGGCTGGATAGGAACAAATAACACAAGTGTTTTAACCCTGGTTCTGGTACATGTTATTGTTTTCTAGTACAGCATATGGCAGTTGATATATATGTATATATAAAGTTGATACGATTATGTACTTTTTTGGAATACGCTTTTATACGCGATCTGCGATGCCTTTATCGAATGTAATTAAAATAGACATTATGCTTAGGTAGGTACTTTAAAGTAGTGCCATATTAAAAGAGCTTCCTGACTATTTTTAATTAGTCTTTTATTTATTAATCTCTCCATGGCCGATCATATGTTAATTTTAAGACGGTACGGATATGTAGCGAGTCCTGCTCGCAGCGTCCCAGATTACGCCGCTGTCGTTCAGCTGTCAGCTCCAAGAGAAGTATGAGTGGAGCATTAAATATACCGTTCTAGCCACCCACATCCAGACCTTTCCAGCGTGAACCAGCCTATCCCATAACTCGTGGAGACTTAGAAACATTACTATCAGACAACATTACCAATAGATTTCTTTTACAATGGGATCGAGGTACAAAAAATAGTTTGGATTTTGTACTCTTGGGGGGCATGAGTGGTAGGTTGGTGGCGTGGGGCTCAATTCGAATCTCAATACTCGGCAAACGTCAAGAATTTTTGTATGGTGAACAGCACCACAACGGACGTAACATCATCCATACAAAACTTTTTTACATTTGAGGCATACCTAGATCGAATTCGATATTGGTTCGTGCTAAGGGTACAGCGTGGGGATAGTTGTACGTTAGATCCGCCGCGCTTACTCTATTTAAGGGCGGCAAAATCTTTGCCCGGAGCGGCATTTCTAGATCGGGCCCTGCCGGTAGTATAAAGTCAAGTCAAAAACTACATATATACCAACTTTACAAAGTAAGAGTACAATCCTCTTTTTTGTGAGCCGTACCACGTCCATTGCTGAGCATAGGCCTCCCCCGAATGATCACCACCCACACCAATCAGTCCTGTGCCATTCGCAGCCATCGACATCCCGCGACCTTCACTCACAAGATCGTCGGTCCACCTCGTAGGAGGCCTGCCCACTGAGCTTAGTCCGGTGCGTGGTTGTCATTCATGAACCTTTCCGAGTACAATCCTAACGCAGTAGATTCCGAGCAAATCGACTGTAACAGACAGGCAGCCAACCGAATTATCGTTTAAGGGTTCAGTTATTGCTGTTTCTAAAATTAATAAATATCCTAAAAAAATTAAGCACGAAAATCCTGAAAGTTCCGGAAGTCCCGATTTCTTTAACAGATATGATATTCCCTAAAATCCTGCGAATAAATTTTTGCCCCGGTTCTTCATTTCGTAGAACCGACTACCATCAAAAAAGGGACATTTATAGTGTGAAAGTTTGATTAAATATTAGGTACAAAATATTGAGATTTGCCCGGAATCGATTTTAATTAAATGTAAAACAGCTTTATATTGAATAATAATAAATACCGCAAATCACAACATTTTGCAATAAAAATAATGGTGGAATTTTACCGTGGATTTGCAAGAATGTAGAAATTATATATGTACCTACAGAGGCACCATTTTGAAATAAAATGTAAATACTTAATCCAGTATAACGATATTTTCTATTTTCTTTTATTAACTCACACCAATTAGCCTAGCCCCAGGTAAGCACTGTAAGGCTTGTGTTATGGGATACTAGGGTAACGGATAGAATAAATATACTGTACATATATAAGCATATTTATATAGAAATACTTATTAAACATCCATGACTGAAGTACAAATGCTCGTATTCATCACACAAACATCTGCCCGCCCCGGGAATCGAACCCGGGACCTCTCGAGTCGGCGACACCATGAAACCCGGCGTACAAACCACTCGGCCACAGAGGTCGTCAATAAATAATAATCCTTTGTTAAATACATGAAAAAAAAACAGGTAGGTATTTCAAAACTCTGTATTTAGTCTTATTATTGAGTAAAAATTAACAGTAATATTAACAAAACATGTAAAATATTATTTCAAACGAAGTTAAATAATCCCTACTTTGACTTTAGTTTGTAAACAGACAGTGGTGTAGATTCTGGCATGGTTCTCTAAACCTAAACTTAGACAAAAGTGTATCCTTGTCATTCTCTACATACAATGAAAGGGAGAGACTTATGTTAAATTTAGTTTTAAGTTTAGAGAATCATGCCAGAATTGACACCAGTGGCGTGCAACAGTGCATAAATACATCATTCTTATTTAATTGTTGAATATTATACATATTTTATATGTCTAATAACAAAGGTATTCTAAATATACCACTATTAAAAAAAAATTAGGTTGGTTACGCTATTCTATAATTTACAATCTTCCATTTATTGAACACATAGACATGGCATGAACCATATTGGTCCGTGGCGTACCTAGTTAATATTAATCTAAGTACCTTCAGAAGGCAGGCACTGCAGGCAGCCTCCTCCCCACTCTGCTCCACACACACAATGTTCTGTGCTCACAATGACCTACAATACAAGTAGGTATGTAAATACTGTTTTTAACAGATTTTTCAATAAAATTGTGTGTGGAGACTGCCTGCCCGCAGTAATATCACTACTACTGGAGGTATTTAGCTTAAGGAAAATTAACTACGAATTGCCTATAATAAATAGCCCTTCATAACCTTACCTTTTGTCCCATGTATGTGATATAAAAATTGTTGAGAAAATAGCTTATAAAATAGGATTCTGCGTCAGGCTTCAATATTAAGATAAACGTAAAAGCAGAGAATAATAAAATAACGCAAAAGTTTAGCAGGAATGTGACAGGCAAGCAAACAACAAAATAAGTGGTAGGTAATACCGTAATAGCATAATTCAAATAAGATATGAAAATATTTGTTTCTTAGGTTTTCACGCACATCACTCCTTAAATAAAACTAGTTTTATCGGGTTTATCTCGTTAGTAATAACCTGAAAAGGCTGCGAAACGTCAATAAATAAATAAAGTTCGTGCAGTAACCCGTTAAAACTAGTCTACTATATAAAATTAAGTCGGGTTTTCCTTCCTGACGCTATAACTCCAGAACGCACGAACCGATTTCCACGGTTTTGCATTCGTTGGAAAGGTCTCGGGCTCCGTGAGGTTTATAGCAAAGAAAATTCAGGAAAAATTTCAAAAAAAAATTCTTCTTTTAATCACCAAACGAAATGTTACATAAAACGAAGCCATCTGATGGCGAAACGGAGTTCGCCTGGTTTGCTAGTTTTATTTAAAGATATGAAAAGTTAAATACTATTGAAAATTTCAAATACAAGACATAATGTTTCATGACTCGGTACTACAACACGAAAAGCGCGATGTCAACCGCTAACGTGCGAAATTGTTATCAACATTTTACAGTCCTGTCCTGCCTGACAGAACTCCTTAATTTCCCTATAGTATTATTACGCATTACATTATAAGGTAATCTCACCATAATGTTAATAAATAAAATGCATGCTCAAAAGACAATACATTTATTTAATAGCACAACTTATGGCACGTCGGATATCTCCTATCCCATCTGGTAACTGTTTACTTTCTCGCACTGTTTTACATAGCATTAGTTAATAATTCACAACTTACCCTAGTTATTGAAATAATATATTTACTAAGTTTGATTTAACTTTAACGATCCACAAATTTGCATATAACTAATCGCTGTTACCATAATACCATAAGTATAATTAATTACAAAACCACAGACTAGTAATTCGTGAATAAATACTATTTTTATCTAAAGAAAACTTTAACTAGAAAACAAAATACAATCATTCTCAGACATCAGGCTAGAATTGAACCAGTACCCTCCCCTGTCGGGGCGAATGTCCTGGTAATAGCAGACGGGACGTTTATCCGCGGAATTTTATGACCGCCAAAATAGATCGTTAATAATTGCATCCGGTAACACACGTGGGTTTAAAACTCCAGAGAACACCGAGAGATCGGACAGAACAGAACAAAAGAACCCCTCAGGTTTGAATGGCTTAAGGGCTCCACACGGAGAGGAGACTCCCCCCGTTGGGAGATGCCATCCACCTGGAATACCGCTAGAGGCACTCGCCAATTCTCGGCATGAGGTCCCTTTAGGATCTCGCCGTCCCCAAACCCGGTGACGCTGTAAAGGTCATCTGCGACCAACAGCATACACACTCAAAAAAAAGGACAAGTACGCGGGTGATGGTGGCAAAGAATTCATGTAACTAGGTGCAGCAAACAGCAACGCATACAGCGAATTATAGTAAGATTCTCCAAGATTAAAGATATGGACCCATAAATTTTAAGCGTTTCTCTTTTCCTTAAACTTCATGTTAATTACAACATTTAGAACACAATGTAATCTAAGAATATATACTTCCATATCGTATGCTTCTCAAAAATGTCGGGTAGCACATGTTCGCACATCGTTTGCGTTGAGTCCGCGATTATTCCTCGGCGGAGATTTTCTTCACGATTCAGGGGGTTTTGTCCGTGGAGACAAAAGTCCATCGTATGGGCATGCCATGAATGGATATTTTACAATGTGAAAGAATGACAGTGCCTACAGTAGATCGTCTACTGTAGGCACTGTCATTCTTGACACGCCTATTCAGTTAGGTCCTGGTAGCAAAGTGGTCTGTGCATCCGATTGCGATAGCGAAACGAAGGGTGCTGCTTCAATTCCAGTTTGGTGCCTGAGAGAGTAGTATTTTATAGTAAAAAAATATGTAACAATTAAAATATGTTTAAATAACAATTTAACAAAATAAAAATACTTTTTTTTATCTTGGACAATTGGTTGTAATCAGTCCAATCAGTAATTCTACGGAGGCGTACTATCTCTTAACTTGAAATCCTTCCGAATCTTAGTATATGGTTCTACAACCGAGCGACATCCATTGAACATCCGACATGTAGAGAAAATGCACCAACAGTGTTGTGGAATGTTTGCGATAAATTATGGTGTCCAAATAGTCAGGGTTGTTCTCTGTTCTATCACGGTTTGTTTGTCCCTCACTACCGGTACATGGGACCATGATAGAATCGAATTGGACAAATTCGTCAAAATAGAAGTCGTCGCCACACGTTTTGGTTATGATAAATCCAGACGTAACTGAATATACTAATCAAAAGAGAACAGCTTGATGGCCGCGAAATGTTACTTGACACGCGTCTCTTAAAGACAATTAAAATAAACATGGTCTCTCTGCTACCATTAAGTAAATAGTGCTTCATCCGATCAGTAATTAAGGCGGAAACTGTAAGCACTCATCTAAGAGATTGTAGAATAATTCAGCAGGTGCCAATCTGCTTATGCAATATATAAGCATTCAACATCGCTTCCAATGTCAGCAACCGCCCACTACATCACTCAGTTTGGTCCGAAGCGCGACTCAATATCAAAACCCAATGACCAATGACGAAGTAAAAACAAAGCGACACGAGCTGCGGTTCTCCACCAGCGAGCGGTGGGCGGCTAACCGAATTAATTAGCCACAACACTGCAACACACTCGGTCGAGCGGAAACATTCGCTATAACGAAACAGTATATTAACACTTAAACATTTTTTTTCGAGCTGTAAAAGTTAATAAGAGTGTGTAATGAATGCGCGTGCGGTTCTGTGCGGGTGAGCAGCGCCGGCTCTCAGAGCGCAGTGCGCGCGCGGCGGCCGCACCGGCGCCCGCTCGTCGCTGGACACCAGACCCGGACCCGCACCACATAGCACGCAGCAAGCGCCCGTTAGCCGTCGACGCAGGCGCGGACAAGGGACGCCTCGCCGACTATCATGAAATCCTGTACTATGTACAAAATCACTTACGTCTCCAAGAGAAACAAGGTAATCGCGCACTTTCACCACCATCACGCATCCCTCAACTCGTCTGTCTATCGCGCTCGGTTGTCGGTCGCTTACTTTTCCATTTCTCGGCTGTCGTTCATAGTGTCGGTCTCGCTACCGAGTAGGGAATTGGTGATGGAGCGAATGAGCGGAAACTTGATGTTGCCACCGGGCTGCGCGGAGCAGACGCCGCCGAAGTCGTCAGCGTTGAGCGAGTAGATCATGGCGCCGCGCAGGCCGCGGTCTCTGATAAAGTCGGCCTTGGCGGCTACACTCGCGGGAGATTCGTAAGACACCCACTCACTGCCTCTGTACAAGTATGGCACTTTGGCTTCGTCATCCCGTTTTATGACTACTTCTCGGTGGCTCGAGACAAACAGGCATATGTCTGGGTAGTTGACGAACCCCATTCCCCCCAAAGTACCGAAACCAGATGCTGGGCTCCCCACTCTAGCATTGTTTGTGTTTACCAATGTGAAAGAGTGCCCATATGTTGGAATTCCTACTACAATTTTATTTCTATTAAGTCCTTTACTTAAATACATTTGCACTGTGTAGTTTATGTTCAAGGTGGCCATATACAGAAACTCATCGTGTCTCGAATACAGTGGAGAGTTTAACCCTGTGAATGGGGTGTATTTTGTAAATGAGTGAAAGTCATAAGTCATGACATTGACATAATCAGTATATAAATCGAGTTGATCCACATCATAAGCAATATCAACTATGGTCCGAGGTGCTGCAACTGCTACAGTTAACAAGTAATCACGTTTTTCTCTGATATATTCACTCCTTATTTCTCTCAACAACTGTGAGAAATGTTGCCTTTCACGATTATGTGTACCGTTACCTCTATTTATGCTGACGGCAGGGAACTCCCAATCAAGATCTATTCCATCCAAGCTGTAGTTGCGAAGAATACTCTTTACAGACTTGATGAATACTTTTCTCGATGCATGATTCACTACCATCTCTGAAAACCCATTCTCATTGCTTGCACCTCCCACAGATAGCAGAATTTTCAGTGTTGGATTTGCCTCTTTAAGTTTAACTACATCCAACAAAGCTTTATATTGACATTTTTCTAAGCTTATCTCCTTATTGACTATTCTTGCAAAAGCGACATTAATGTGTGTGCAGAGATGCGGGTGGATATTGCTTGGTAATAACTGGTTGGAATCATTAGGGTTAGGTGTGTCATAATAACAAGATACAACCCTTTCTGGGTCCTTAAGGACCTTATTTGCAGAGTATGTGAAGTTTGTGAAAGTATATTCTGAATTTCTTTTAATGGAGTATAAGTTTGCACGAACATTAGATTTAATTAAGCCATATGAATAGAAGGTTCCATGCTCAACATCTTGTAGTTGCTGAATGAGCAGCAACAGTGTAGTAGTTGTAATTATTACCACAACACTCACCACTATAGCAACTACACTGAACAGTAATAGGCATCTGCTTGCACTAATATGTTTTCGTGGCCTCAATTTAACGCTACAACGCACTTCGTCCAGTTGTCGATAGCCGTTATCACCTTGATCACACATAATTTCAATGTTTATCTTTTCTTTGTTCTTTAGTGCAGACAAGCATCTGTTTCATTCGCATTTCTTACATTCGTAGCGTTAATGAAATAAATAATATTTAGTAGGTACTAGCTTTGGTTCTTTTGGTGTCCTTCATTTACTAAAATAAAACGGAATGTTAGAATGTTTCTGTTTCTGAAAAATATTTTCACAAATCAGATTAATTAGATTTCTTCAGTGTTATTTCGCAAACGCAAAACAAAACAAATACAATGACAGCTGTCACGTTTCTGTCAAAACATACAACATAGGCTTGTGAAAATTGTATCGATTGTTTTTGATCTTTCGGTTATAATCGATATTTTATCCTAATATATCGGTTCAAAATAACCAATTCTGGCATGATTCTATAAACTTATAACTAAATTGAACATTAGTCTTTCCTTTTTTTAAATATAGAGAATAACAAGGATATACTGTTCGCAAATTGATTAAAGATTCTGATACCATAGGGCGTCTAAGAAATTAATGAATTGTTTCAGCACTGTGGTAATGAAATGCGTGAATGACAATATTATTTTTTTGAAATTCATTATACCATGCATCGAGCAGTGAAAATTGTGGCTGACAGATGAGTACCCAAGCCATTGGCGCGGAAGAGATTAAAAAAGGGAAGGGGTGTTATTATGAAATTTAGTACAAAATTATAACACCTGGTTGGGTGTTATAGGTATTCTATTGTGTTATATTATTTATTGATAGTCGCTTTCAACATTCAATAATACACTGGTGTGGATTCTGGCGTGATTCTCTAAACTTAAAACTAAATTAAACATCAGTCTCTCCTTTTCATGCTGTAAAGAGAATGACAAGGATACACTGTTCTCAAATTTAAGTTTAGGTTTAGAGAATCATGCCAGAATTGTCACCAATCTATTTCTAAGGAGATGGTTTTCTATTTCTTTAAAGAATTAATACTTTGATTTTTGACAGTTCTTTTTTTTATAATTTGTGTTGTGGTGTGATGTTTTCATCTGTATATATGTATATTTTTTTAATAAAATGGGCGTATATTCATTAGCCTCACCTGTATACCTATTCATGCATCAAATACCATTTTACTCATGAAAGAAAAATACTAGGCTGTATAATTTAAGCATTTAGAGCACCATAATATGAAACTGATTTTTAAAAAGTTTGTGAAGCGAATGTCACTTTGACATTGACAAATAATGATAAGTAAGGTCATAGTTTGACGTTTTGACATGCTTATAAATTAAAGAAAAGAAAAAATAATGTAGTTTTTTAGAATTTTTACTAATGCAATGTTAAATAAATCACGTAAAAAAGGTTTTATTCTTGCGAGTGTCGCGTACAAATCGAACATAGTTAGCTATGGACAGCGCATCGATGAATCCTTACGAGGAACAGCTGTACACAGTGTTCAAAACGTTCGACGTAGATAACGAGGAAGCCCTAGATAAATCTGCAGTGCTCGATCTGTGCGACGCGTTGCAGCTGGAGGATCGCGGCGCCGCGCTCGTGGACACGCTGTTCGAGCGGCGCGCCGACCGCGTCACCTTCACGCAGTTCCGCAACGGGCTGCTGTCCGTCCTCAGCGGGCCCGAGCGGGGCGACACCGCCGCCCCCGTACCCACTCCGGAGTCGCCGTCCGAGAAGGGTCCCGCGCCCGCGTTCGTAGCCCCGCACAGCGACGAAGACTCCTCGGGCCGGGAGGTCGCTCCCAAGTTCGTGTTCGGCTCCAAGAAGTACGGTCGACGCTCGAGGCCGCAACGCTCTCTGTCCGCGTCGGGCGGATCGCCGCGGGCCGCGTCCGTCTCGCGACTCGACAGCGAAGATCGGAACCGAACATCGCAGCGCATGCGGTGCAGACGAAGCGCCTCCGCGATGGAGAGTCGCGACCTCGACTCGACCAACGACGGCGAGGACGTCGCTCTCGACGACTTCGACCACGATCGTCGCATCGACTGCGACCAGGCTCTCGCTCTCTGTAGAAATCTGCGAATGGACGGCATCGATCGAAACCTCCTCGAGGCCATATTCGGCGACTCGCAAACGAAGGAGCTCACGGTCGGAGATTTCTTCGATCGTTTGAACGCGTCGCTGACGTCGTCCATCGAGGGGTCTCGGCCCGCCGGCTGCGCGGTCGCGCTCGTCGACGAGGGCTCCGACGAGGAATCGGGAGTCGCGAGCGAGCTCGTCGTCGACGCGTGGGAGCGCGCCGGCGTGCCGCGGCCGCGCCGCCTGCTGCTCGAGCTCGGGTTCGCGGTCGCCGCGCTCCGGCCGCGGGACCTCGAGCGCGCGCTCGACGACGAGCTCGCCGCGCTGCCCGAGCCGCTCGGCGAGCGCCGCGACGCTCGCGCGACCCTGCTCGCGGCGGCGCTCGCCCTGGGCCGGCTGCGGACCGCGCGGGCCCGCCGGCGCGCCGATCTCGCCGCCGCCGAGCGCGACAAGCTGCGCGCCGACGTCGCGGAGGCGAACAAGCGCGCGGACCTGCTCGCGCACGACGTGGACGAGAGCCACGCGCGGATGGAGGCCGAGCTCGCGGCGAACCTGCGCCGGGCGGAGGCGCGCCACGCGGAGGCGGCCCGGCGCGCGGCCGACGAGGCGGGCGCCGAGCGGGAACGGGCGGCGGCGGCGCGCGCGCGGCTCGAGGCGGAGGCGGCGCGACGAGCGGAGGCGGAGGCGCGCGCGCGGGCCGATGCGGACGCGGAGCGGGGCCGGGCGGCGCGCCTGGAAGCGCGAGCCCTCGCGGCCGAGGAGCGGGCGGCGGCGGCGGAGCGGGAGGCGGCGCGGCTGACGGAGGAGGCGCGGCGAGCGCGGCACGCGGGCTCGGGCGCGGGCGCGGGCTCGGACGGGTCGTCGGCGGGCTCGGGCGCGGCGGCGGGGCTGGCGGCGCTGGTGGAGTCGCTGCGGCGGGAGGCGAGTGCGCTGCGGGACCGCAACGACGAGCTGGAGGCGCTGCTGGAGGCGCGCGCGCCGATAGCCGCATCCACCGCTCACAGCGGCGACCTCTCCGCCGAGCTGCGCTCGCTCATGGCGCCCGAGCCGCTCGAGGTATACATAACATTGTTTTTGAATATTTTAGATGCATATGAATCTGTCTCCCTTACCGAAGTCTTCTCTGAGTGATAATAGTAAAAGACACCGTCTTGAAATTAATATGCTGGAGAAAAGGGATGTTCAAAATTAATTTTCTATGGTTTGAATTATGCAGTATGCTAGCAGTGATCCAACGGACATTTTATAGGGCAATGTCTCATTATTGAATTTGTGGAATTATAGCCTATGACCACTCTCTATAGTCTATAATTTTTTGTATAAGATTACCTTGTAATCTGACAAATTATAAATCAAAAAATCTATAAGAATTGATTTTTATGTACAGTCAACAGTAATAGGTGTTTCAGATTACAAGGGATGCCAGGTTAGACCAAGTCTGTAAATCATCATAAATAAACTATCATATTTAAGATGCAATAGGTAAATTTCTTAAAATTTATGAAAACTCACTTTGAGATTAGACCATAAGCAATATATTATTTTCTTGTTTAAATGTTTACATTATATTCTCTCTGATTTCTTTATCATTTCATCAATAATACTCGCCTAACAGCTACTAACTAACTAATACTACAAAATGGAATCTTTTTTTATATATCAGTATTCTTATAAGTACATATTAGGTTTTTTTTTGTAATAGCAAATTCTACAACTTGGGTAGACTTTATAATTATTGGCCCCTTAAGCTGAATTTTTCATTTGTTTGTCTGTACTAAATTAATTATTAGTTTTTGATTGAATGTAGTTCCACAATTTTGTTAAATGGGGTTGATTGTCAAAATAAGAAGACTTCAAACAGCTCAATATTATTATGTATTAAAATATTTCAAAATAACAGAAACAATTTCAAATGTATAGAGATTGGCCCTCGATGTACAATAGTTGGCCCTCATATATATCAGTGATTGAACCTCTGAATAGTTTTTAATTCTATTATATTTTTCTGAATTTAAAATACTTAGTTAATGGCCTCTGCAGATGGACTTTTGTCATCCAAGGATATAAGTTCCTTGAGCTACAAAAAAATGTCAACGGTGTGCGGACATTTTGTGAGCTGAAAATATAGAAAAGCACACACTATGCAAGGAAATCTTCTCAAATTACGTTGTGTTGTAATTAACATGCAGTTAAAGAAAAGAGAATGTTTTAAAAAGAATACTGGGTCCATCTCATTAAATTGGATCGAGGTCACTTCACAGACTAAAGTTCGCTGTGTGCATTGGTGTGCCTAGTCACATGAGTTATATTTTGGAATGAATGCTTCATTAAAATGGCTGCCTTTTTGTAGCACATGCAAACCGGCAACAATCAAACTTTGTTTTTTCAAAAGAATGCCATTTGTAGAGGTCAATTAACTACTGAAGATTGAAGAATTGCCATCATCATCATCATCATTCTCAGCCTATTAATGTCCCCACTGCTGGGGCACAGGCCTTCCCTATGGATGGAATAGGGAGATTGGGCCATGACCCACCACGCGGGCCCAGTGCGGATTGGTTGAAGAATTGCCATCAAAGAATAATAAAAAGATATCGTGTTTAGTGTTTTTTTTACAAATTTCTTTATATTTTAGTGGAAATGCAAGACGGCCAATCATTGTGGGGGGCCAGCATTAGTATAGCATCCCCTACGGTATATTTAGTTTTCAATTAGAGAAAGTGTTTACTGGGTTTGCACACACTACAGCATTAATAATCTTTGCTATTTCAGGAATGTGATTCTGCACCTGTAAGCATGGAGCCAAAGATCACAATAGACCACCTCGAGGCGGCGAAACGGTTGCGTGCCATCTTTCAGAGCGTGCGCACTTTATCTCCCGCGAGTGGCGGGAAATGCGATTCCTGTGTCGCTACCGAGAGTATAGTGCTAGAGATCTGCGCGCGCGTTCAGGAGCTTAGTGAGGCTGTTGTGATCGGTAACGCAACAATTAACACAGGCGAAGGCACCGAAGCCGCAGTCAATGCACACTCATCGACGCAAACTGACTCGAACGCAGTCGTCGAATCGCTCACACAGACCGAGCCGCTGTCGATGCCGATGCCAACCGAAATTAGCACCGTCGTGGTCGACGTCGATCGGGGCGCTGCCGATTCGCAAGAGAAAGAACTCGCGCTCGTTGTCCGCAAATATGAGGATGAGAAGAGGAAGGACGATGAAACTATTAGGTGAGATCATCTTTATTTAGCCTTAGTGGAGTGGTGGACTGTTTTCCGTACTTCTATACCGTGTGCCTATTTTGCATGAGAAATGGCATCAGTCCTGCCATGTCAGCTCCAACAGAAGGCCCAGCTGTCCACGGATGTTGCCGCAGGTTAGTGTCTGTGGATTTTACATATGAGAAATCTTTTATCCTACAATTTTATCCAGTTATAACGTTATGTTATTGTCTCCCAAAACTTAACAAAAATAAATACTTAAGGCTATAAAAATCGTGGGAGACAGGAGTCCAAAATAGGTAAACCCCGTGCTAAGGAATCTTCCGGTCCAGTGTTACCAACCCTTACCAAAAAATTCATCTAAGTATTTTTCAAATTCCCCTAAAATCCCCTAAATATAGAATTTTATATGTACATACTTATCGCCTAAATTCTTTCCACAATATAGGTTAGTATAAAACCATGCCTTACATATAATAACATTTACACATATCATACTATTAATTTATAATGAATAGATTTTATATATATACTAGCTGACCAAAAATTTACTATCTCGAGTTCCTCCGTGCTTCGGAAGGCACGCTAAGCCGTCGGTCCCGGCCGCATCCGCAATCGTCATAGCACCAACCGATCCGCACCGGGCCAGCGCGGTGGGTCATGGCCCAATCTCCCCATTCCATCCATAGGGAAGGCCTGCGCCCCAGCAGCGGGGACATCGATAGGCCGATGACGAATTCGGTACGCTTCGCAGGGAACTGGAGGCGAGCCTCGAGCAGATGCGCGACGAGTACGAGCGCTGCGAGGAGTACTGGGCGCGCAAGCTCGACGACGAGCGCGCCGCCCACGACCACGAGCGCCGCGCCGGCGACGAGCGGCTCGCCGAGCTGCTCGCGCGCGTCGCCGACTACGAGCGCTCGTTCGCGGGCGGGCGCGCGCCCACGCTGCCCCCCATCGAGGAGCGGGCCGCGCTCGAGGCGCAGGCGGCCGACGCCGAGCGGGAGCTGGCCGAGTGCCGCGCCCGCGCCGCTGGCGACCTGCGCGCGAGGGACGACGAGCTGCGACGCCTGAGGGCGCAGGTTGCGCACGCGCAGGTACAGTTACCATATCTATTTATTCAAGTTATACTTCTTTAGCCGCGTTATGAAAAAATTATGAGAGTGAAATTTTCATCACTGTAACACAAAATTTTAACATAACGAAGTTAGCCGCGGGCGCGTTATTTGTAATATTTTATTTTCCAAGTGACCGTGGGGCAGATTTGAACAAAGCAAACAGGGCAGATTTGAACGGGACATTGAAATGAAATGAACTGAAATGAAATGTCAATATTATTAATTTATTGTAATTAATTATTTGCATGCAATTAAAAACTAATTTTAAACGATGCCAAAGAAGGATAACTTCTCACGCGCCTACATAAGTACACGCACCCATTTTTTTATTTATTTAATTCAGGTAACGAACAGTCTTATGCAAACAATTTTACAATTTATGTTTACAAATAGACCTAAAGTACCATTGAATGATATACAATTATTATATTCGAGCGGCATAAAAGTGACGGATGACTATAAACATATGATATACATCGCCGCCACACATATTAACTGTTTAAACAATAATTCACTTATTTTCCTTTTGAAGCTGTAAAGTGATTCACTGAAAATATCTGCTTCATTCAAGTTCTTATTGTAAAAATTACGTGTCCGTCTAAAAAAGGTTTCTCTAGCATAGTTGGTATGGCAACTCTACCTCAGGATCTCAAGATTTGTCCTGAGATTTCAGGATTTTTGGACCCTCAGGATCGCGGCCGGTATCGATCGATCGAATCTCATGAAATCTCAGGATTTTCTGAATTTCCAATAAAATAAAGCTTGCGTTTCAAAAATCTCTTTGATAAAAAGTTAGACAAACTGGAAATAATCTTCCATTTTTAATAATTGCACGATTAAAATCAGTCCTTTATTATCCAAGTTGGTGCTTGATCAGTTTTATCATACCTACTTAATATGTGAAGATACATTTTTAAGTATTTTTTTTTTTTAATTATGGATTCATATAACGCCCCGCATGTCGAGCGCTTCAAATTATATCGGTTTAAAAGTGTAAGCGGAGTATAAACGATAATATTGCGACTTTTTGAAATCGTTAACGCAATCGTAACTTTTGAGAGAAAATTCTCGAACTGTAAAAAAACTCAGAATTTTTCAATGGAAATCGAGCCTTTTTTGCGGACTTTTGATTTTATCATCCGGTAACCCTAGGCCACAGAGAAGATGGGAGGATGACCTACCGCAAGGACGGCGCAGATTAGCAAGAGATCGGATAAAATGGAAAATTCTAGAGGAGGCCTATGTCCGAGGAGGACGACCTGATTAAAACAGTGCCGGTGTACCGATTTTCTTTCATTAGTATAAGCATTGTAAAATTAAATCAAATCGTAGGTAGCAATAGGAAATTAGTAATACGGCTAGTTAGTAAGTAGTATAACTATATTAGAGAATAAAGGCTATTTTGAAGTTATTGCAGTAATTATTTGCATGCAATTAAAAAATATTTTAATGATGCTAAAGAAGTATAACTTCTCACGCGCGTACATAAGTTACACGCATCCATTATTTATTTATTTTAATTGTAGGCGCAGGCGATGCAGACGCCTGCGTGCCTGTGGTGCGGGGGCGGGTGCGGGGGCGGGGGCGGCGTCGGCGTCGGCGGGCTGGAGGCGTGGGTGTCGCGACAGGCGTCGGTGCTGAGAGCTCGAGCTGGTCGCGCTGAGGCGGCGGTGAGGCGACTCACGGCGCGGCTGCACGCGGCAGACCTGCTCGTCAAGGACCTGTACCTGGAGAACTGCCACCTGGCGCATCGCCGCGCGCCCTGACACCCGGCGACCCTCCTCCGACAATAGTGCCTGCGTTTCCATGCGAACGAACGACGTTTAGTGTCGGTCGCTCGAAAAGTGTTATCACAGTGTTCCAAAAACGTTTAGTGTCGATCGCTCGAAAAGTGTTATCACAGTGTTCCAAAAACGTTTAGTGTCGATCGCTCGAAAAGTGTTATCGCAGTGTTGTGTTCCGAACGGTCCCTCGCTCTCTCCGGGGGTCCGCTCTCCTTCCCCGAAACGAAATTTCGATGACGAAGTTCGAACGAAATTTAATTTCGTCGATTCAAGGTTATGCTCGATGTGAACGGTGATCTATCGAATGGAAGCTTTCTTTGAGTGGGTCTAGAAAATCTACACCTCGATCTATATTCCGACGACGAATATTATTATAGTTAAAGACGAACCGAAAACATGGTGAGAAGAGTGCGAAGTTTCGATCGAAATTTCGGTTTTCGTTGAATGAGAGTAGGCATCCGGATTCGGTTTCGAGTGCGGTGTGCGTGTGTGCGAAACGACCGCAAAGTGTGTTCCGAAGATTAATGAAGCGATCGGAAAAAATAGGCCTTTGATAAATAATTTTATATAGAGAGACTAGATAGCCGTAGATCTCGAGTGAGCCTCGGATGCAGGATCAAAAAGATGATTGCTTTTCCTGTTTGACATTTATGATTGAATTTTTTTATTAAAAAGTCAAATTATTAATAAGGAGAATGAAAGATACTAAATTAATTAAAATTAAATTATGATTATTCATAGACGCTTTTTGACTAAGATTATAAAAAAAAATAGAAATTAAATAAAAACTGATTTGTTTAACAAATTTATAACTAAATATACTTACACAGTAACGAGTACAATTGCTCTAAGATTTATCTTAGTCAGTCTGAAATTTGCCATTTGTCAATGCAATTTAATTTCTAATAACTTTGTAACCTGCCAAGTAATATTTGCCGAAAAGTTAAATGTAACCCTGTCAATAATTGTTTTACCTGTTTCCAATTTAATAAGAATTCTCAACCATAGTATGACTGAAGTCAAAAGGCACTTAATAAATTGTGATAAATTATTTCCATATGTGTTGTTTGTAGATTATGTAGCTACATAATTATTTTGTCATTACTCAGGTGTGATGAAAACTTCATATCAATATTTTTATTCCAAAAACTTTAGTTGTAAGAGTAACGTATGAACGAACTCATCCATGGACATGACCCTATATAATTCCTGTGAAATAGAAATGTTACACTAGTAATCTGTATAAAACCTCACCACATAATAATATAAATGTATTATGTTTGCCAATTTGTGAGAATCAAAGATGCAACTTCACATAGCAGTACTTGTATGATCGCAGAATTATATCTACAAGTGATTCAGTACACACTCACGTATTGTAAACAAAAATCAGTGTTGGTTAGAGTAGTAATCTAATTACTTACACAACAGTGCCTACATGTATATAATATATTCATAATATTATCTAATTAATATAGATAGAATAATTTTGTATGTATACCTAATTATGGCGATGCACAAGTCGCACATGTCTTGTTGCACAGTCGCAGATATAATATAATTATGGCGATGCACGAGTCGCACATGTCTTGCAGGTTTGATGAAACCCGTCAAGTACAGTTTGTACACGCATCCGCTACGTTGTGAACGCTGGTTCCTTATGTTGTGTTCCTTGTGATAGATATGCTCAGATTTGTTTACGTACACATGTTATGTGCAGTTTAAAAAGTCGATGATTCGCCACTTTTAAGCAGGGCTCGATCTAGAAATTTTGCCTCTTCGGGCATAGCTTTTTACCTCCCTTTAATGACGTACTTTTATTTTGTCGCTTCGGCCAAAGATTTTTACCTCCCTTTAATGGCGTACTTTTATTTTGCCCCTTCGGGCAAACATTTTTGCCTCCCTTTAATGACGTACTTTTATTTGGCTCGCTCCCCCCTCCCCCCCCTGGATCGGGCCCTGCTTTTAAGAGATCAATCTTAAGATTTTTTTAGTTTTATAATAGAGTTATGGAATAAATATAAAGAGATTGTTTGTAAAAGAGATTGTGGTTTGCATCATGCAACGGTATTGGCACAGGTCGATCTTTCAAGGGTTGCGTGTAAATAAATTGAGTTTTCTGTGTTGCTTTTAGTTGGGTACCTTCGATCTTTCGAATTCCAATATGCAAGCTAATAACTTGGGATCAACTAAACTAAAAAGGGGATTTTTATAGTCGTTGAGTGACAATCGTTATGATCAAGCATCCCGGTGTGTGAAACCGGATTCTGCTTTTTCTTTGAAAAAATTAATTGTATTCAGACAAAATTACAATGACGCCTTTTTAGCGATGCTGATACGATGTCGCATTTTATTTTAAAAGCGGCAGACGATATTCTTTGAGTGCCCTGTAATTAGCAACCCTGCTTAACTTTCTTCTGTCCCCGTAGCGACCATATTATCATCCATCCCACAGAACACGTAAAAAGAGGTTAGAAGGGTGATAAGCGATCGCCAGTATCAGCGCTCACAGCCGTGACTGTAAGCGGTAATGACAATACTCTCTCACTGAGCGTTCGCGGGCAACTAAACCACGCGATCGGACGTTACGGTCAAGTTATGAGCATTTGCTCATAACTGTGACGCGCCTGCCCCGCCCACAAGGCCATTCTAAGCTCTTTCTGTGTTTTGTGATCCACCCCCCCCCCCCCCCCCCCCTTCCTTACGCGCTACGTGCACTTACGATTTGCACTCTTGTTTTGGTTGGTCTCTCATCTCTCGTCGAAATATAGTAATTTATTATCTCTGGTGTGAAGAGCCCCGGGCCCCACCTGCCTTCAATGAGGCACTGCTTTCCCCTTAGCGTGACCATCTAAACGTGATATCATAAAGCTGTTTTGGACATTGATATGTGTCGATAGAAGCTTTATCATATCATATGGATGTGCTCATGCTAGGAGGGCAAATGCCAAAATGCGAATCTTCATAATCAAGTGTCGATAAATCGTTGTGTAGTTTTTGCGTTTCGTGCTACGGGGGCCGCCTGCACATTGGATCACTGTGCTGGGTGGATGGCATTTAATTAAAATAATACCTATTGATCTTAATCAAAATGTAATAGCAATATGTTTGATTCCTCTTGGGAGAAACGGGTAAAAATGCGAATAAATTAATTACTGTTTATAAAATATTTTTATTTTTTAATCATTTAACTGCTAGATGTTTAAATCTAAAAAATATTGAATGAATTACTATTAACATATTATGGAATCTGTATTGTTATGCCATAAATTGAATACTTTGTATACCTAATATACTTCATGAAAAACGGCAATTTCATAGGTAAAGACCTATGAAATTGCCATTTTTCATGCAATAAGCCAACGCCTTTTTTCTATATTATTTATTTAATTACTTAAAGTAATTACCATTGCAATCAATGCATTTAAAAATAAAAATAATTCGAATTTAAAATTCTGCGCGAAAAAAAAATGGACTTGAAATAATAATGCGACTTAATATGATAGGTATGCAATAGAACGGCAAATTCATGGGTATAGACCTATTAGTAATATTAGGACCCTTAAATTGTATGTTAGTAACATGTACTTTTTAAGTGTCGCACACAGACCCGTCTTTCCCAGTGGGCACTTTGGGCAAGAGCCCAGGGCCCTGCGATCGATAGCGGGCCCCCTCAGATCAAATACAAAGTCCCTAGTTCCTGTTAAATCACCAAACGGAAGTCATAGGGGCCCCATTATCCTAATATGCCCTGGGGGCCAATCGCCTAACTGGATTGCTTTGGAAAACGCTATCGCTTACGATTTCATTTTGTTTTTTCTAGCCCCCTGAGGTTTTCAAATGCCTCGCGCTCTTTTTTTTTCTTTTGCATTGGTAATAACAATGTTAAAGAAAATGAGCGTGAGGTATTTCGGCGGTTAGAAATAACAAAATGAAATCGTAAGCGATAGCGTTTTCCAAAGCAATCCAGTTAGGCGATTGGCCCCCAGGGCCTCCAATAGGTGAAAGACGGCACTGGTCGCAAATGTTGTACGTACGTAATGTTGAATAGGTATAATGCGAATCAAATAAGAATAGGAAAGCCAATGACCTCCATCTGTCAAATGACGCTTGAAAAGTACGGTTTGCAAAAAATCTTGGAACTCGTTTTTAGCACTCTGCTAATAAAAAAACCAAACATTTGTAAACAAACATGACGACGATGACAACTCCGGTAGTTATGCAGAGCTGAGCGGAATTGAAGAGCTAGATTCCGATTAATATTTTTACTCACAAAGTCATAAATGATATTAAAAATCGGTGTTTTATTTTCTCAATCTTAGTAAATAAGTTTTATTTAAAAAAAACTGATGTTTTTTCTCACTTAATCTAAGTAAATAAGTTTTATCGAAGAAAAACTTTTATTGCTCACTCTACCTATTTTGTTTCAATTGACAGCTTTGACATCACAAAATGGCGCCCAGTCGATCCTATTCTTAGTTGAACCGCATTATACGTAGAATTTTACAAAATCCCTTAGCTTAACATAAGACATTTTTCTGTAATTATTTCACTGGTTTTTGACGACGTTTTGTTATAGCGATGGTGACTACTAGGGAACTAAGATCACGTAAATGTTAATAAGCCCAGTGATCCAATGTGTTAGAATAGAACGGGTAAGCAAAAGGATTTGCACATTACAGCAACTTCACGCAAACTCCACCCTAATGCGACACAGTATTGCAGTGAAATGTATTCCTATGGCTGGTATTTTCAATACGGTGAAAATTAAGTCTGAACCATAGTAGTTTGCAGTGTCATAACCATTGAAACCCATTCCGCTATAGGTACACTACTTTTAAAGAACTATTGAAATTTCTACGTAAGTCCAAGGGGGTGAAGTTTTCATTGAGTTGTTGTTGATTCTGCGTAGATACAGTTAAAGAAGTTGGCTGTATGTCATCTAAAGGCGATATAAGCTTGCTCGCCAACTTTTTCAGAGTTCCTCTGTAAGAGTACCTACTAAGCTATGCCAAAGTGGCAGCTGGCAAACTCTTTTGACTGTTTCAGTATGGCCTAGAGACCCGTGTTTCCCAGTGGGCACTTTGGGCAAGAGCTCAGGGCCCCGCGATCGATAGGGGGCCCTCTCAGATCAAATACAAAGTGCCTAGTTCCTGTTAAATCACCAAACGGAAGTCATAGGGGCCCCATTATCCTAATATGCCCAGGGCCTCCAATAGGTCAAAGACGGCACTGATGGCCTGGTTGTTATTGTGCAACAACGAATCAATACCTCGATACTACGTAGCGTAAACAAAATAGGTAGTTCAATCACTGATGGCTAGAAAAAAACAAACTGTTAGGTTTTATTTCGCTTTACTTGTCGTTACCCTTAGAGCAAGCGCACATTGAGCCACTAAACTCGTTTTCATATATTTTGTATAGTAATAGCACAAAGCCACCAGCGGCGGCGATCGGTGGCTGCGTCTAGTGGCTTGACTGAGCCACTCAAGCGCTTGCTCTTAGCTGTCATACGAGTGTGACAATAATCCCCACAGTCCACTCAATCATCCTGTCAGGTATCGTGATTGATATCATGCTGCACCGTGAGTCGTGGGGCACCATGTTATGTTCGAAAGATAGATGCATAATTATATATATGTGATTATTAAAGTGTTGAACCAAACAAAGGTGCCTTTTATTTCTTACTAGCTTTTAGGCGCAACCTTTTAGAACCGCTCGCTCTAACTGCCGTATTAAGTCTTAGAGCATTTATACCTATATATTTATAGTATATTTGTAATATATTATATATTTATAGGTATAAATGCTCTAAATATTAAGTTAAGAGCGAAGAAAATCGCTGAATTCTATCTAATCAGATTCCATTGTAATTCTTTGCCTATGGTTAAGGAATCCTAAAAAACAAGACTGCTTTTGTTTTATATAACATTTAATTCAAAAATTAAGTTATAATTTCAAACATTGTCTATAACATAACATAAATTATGCTAAACTTATTGTTGGTATATGGTATTACAGTGCAGCTCGTCATCACTGGAGCAGAATGAGGAAAAATAGATATTAAAATGATTGAATAGTCTTTTCCCCCGCCGCCGGTTGAGACGATTAACACCTTTAATTTGACTACATACCTACAAGTATGGCCCACCACAACTTGCAATAATGTAGGGCAACGTGATACGAAAACTGTAAGTAGGCCCGTTGTAAAAAATGCAATCATGATATGAGTCGGATACTGGTGCCAATTCGGTATTTTGCGGTACATACATAATTTTGCAAGCCAGTGTTTTGCATAACAATAAATACGGATTACGTTTACAAACAAACAAATCATATTTTTGTTACCCAGTTACAATAAAATTAAAAAACACATTAATACACGAATATAATGAAAAGTACCTATATCCTACTTTTTTGGAATAAATGATAAAAGACAGTTTGTCTACAAACATTCTTCCAAGTTGGCTCAAGATAGACGCTCTGAACGTTACACTGTTACGTGTGATCCTCTCGACGATGGATGGTGGCTGGAGATGTAAGGAAGGAGAGAGGAGCAGTAGTGTTGTGAAAATAATGTCCTAACATAATGACCCGGCTGTGAAGTTAGCACTAGTGAATGCAACTCGCAAGCACTGAACTAAAACCTGTGTATAGGTTTTAGTTTAGTGCATGGACGTTAGGGTGTTGTACAGGACGTCCATGGTTCAGTGACATCCTGTGTGCACTTTCTTCACCCTCCAATTTGTTTACTGCGCCGTGACTTGCGCTGACTTCAGAGCTGTCACAATCGGGCCCCGAAGGAAGGGATTAGGGCGCAGTAGTGTGGTGTTTACAGGTACATCCCGTTGACGAGGTAGTCGGCATCGTGTGCGAGTGGCGACTTGCCGCGCCGCAGCCGCCGCCGCGCCGCACGCGCCCGGCACCCCACCATGGCGCCCATCACCACCGTCATCGCCACCCCTGCATTATACAATTATAATGCGATTCAAATAAGAATAGGAAAGCCAATGACCTCCAACTGTCAATTAATGTCGCTTGAAAAGTACAGTTCGCAAAAATATCTTGGAACCCTTTTTTAGCACTCTGCTAATTCGAGAATAAAAACCACACATTTGTAAACAAACAATAACAATTATTGATAATGAATTAATATTGGTTGATATTTTTGAAGTTATACTTCTTTAAGCGCGTTATGAAAAAATGATGAGAGTGAAATTTTTAGATGCGCGCGCATCACTGTAACACAATAGTAACACCATGAAGTTGGCCGCGGGCGCGTTATGAATGTTAGTGTATAATAATGGTGGATTATTAACCACTAAGTGGTTCGAAAGGTACTTTGAACGATCCACGGAGCTCCATAAAATGATCGCGTTGTCAAAAACAATGTTGGCACGCTCGTCGCCTCTGATCACTGTTTTCATATTTATAATATTTATCCACATGTTTCTAGTTTCTATATAGACACAACGTGTTTTAGTTACTTACAAGTGCTAATTACATATGGACTAATAACTTAAATTCAGTAGTGATTATAATTGAATATTTTGAATATTTATTTAATTTTTCAAATTAAAACTGAACTTAATTGACTGTGTTAACTATCCTTTTCCAGTCCTTTTATTATTTTATTGTAATTATTAATTATTTGCATGCAATTAAAAAATATTTTTAATGATGCTAAAGAAGTATAACTTCTCACGCGCGTACATAAGTTACACGCATCCATTTTTTTTTCATTTATTGAGCTTTGGCTATGTATTGTTGATAACCTAAACCGTCAACCAAATGTCACTTTAAGTTGCGTTCGGAAACTCAATTTAAAACTTTCGTTTACCATAAGGATGCATGATCGTATTTGACCTAGTAATAGTGCATGATTATTCATAACTACTCCGGCGGTAATGCAGAGATGAGCGGAATTGAAGAACTAGATTCTAGATTCTCTTTATTAGGTTTAAAATTATAGCTAGATTCTGATTTATGTTTTTTCTCACACAGTCTTAATAAATAAATATTATTAAAAATTGGTTGTTTTTTTTCTCACTTAATCTTAGAAGTTTTATTAAGTAAAATGTTTTTTTTGTTCATTCTACCTATTTGGTTTGAATTGACAGCTATGACGTCAAAATATGGCGCCCAGGCGGTCCTATTCTTAGGTGAATCGCATTATATCTATCTCTACTATTACGAGTATAACTATTGTTTCTCTCTCTTTTGTGTTTCCGCTGTTCGCATGCGCAGAGACTGAGAATGTTTTTTGTTTGTTTGTTAATCTACCTACATTTTTAAATTGTTAGTCGACACGATGTAATATTTTTTTTGAAGTTATACTTCTTTAGGCGCGTTATGAAAAAATGATGAGAGTGAAATTTTAAGATGCGCGCGCATCACTGTAACACAAAATTTTAACAGCATGAAGTTGGTCGCTTTAGCGACCAACTTCATGCGTTACTTTTGTGTTTACCGCACATTAAGAAAATCTACCAACAAAATAGAAATAGAATTTCTATTTAGTGGGTGCTAACGACTGCATTGTGAAGGCCTATCAAAAGTATTTATTAATCTGGAACAACGGAACCAAAGCGCGATTCAGGAGACTACAGCGCCATCTCTTGACCATTGGTGTAGTAGAACGAAAAACCACATCTTTATTTTTTGTAATAAAGTAACAGTTATAGATATTCATATTTATAATATCAAAAGTATTTATTAATCTGGAACAACGGAACCAAAGCGCGATTCAGGAGACTACAGCGCCATCTCTTGACCATTGGTGTAGTAGAACCAAAAACCACATCTTTATTTTTTGTAATAAAGTAACAGTTATAGGTATTCATATTTATAATATTTATCCACATGTTTCTAGTTTGTATATTCGGAATACGTGTTTCAGTTTCATACAAGTGCAAATCACATATGTTCTAATAAATTATATTCAGTAGCGATTTTAATTGAATATTTTGATTATTTATTTATTTTTTCAAATTAAAACTGAACTTTATTGACTGTGTCCTTTTCCAGACTTTTTATTAATTTATTGTAATTAATTATTTGCATGCAATTAAAAACTAATTTTAAACGATGCCAAAGAAGGATAACTTCTCACGCGCCTACATAAGTACACGCACCCATTTTTTTGTTAAGTATGTCTTTGTATTTTCTCTGTAAATGGATTTTTTAAATTAAAATTCTTTTGAGAAAATTAATATCTTTAACCGTATATACTTAGTATTTTCGGATGCTGATTTGTGTATACTTAATACAATACTCCTGAGCGTACCGGGATGAGTCGTTATTTCTTCTATAAACTTCCTCTGTTATGTAGAAATTGACATATTGATTGATTAGCTGTCAGTCAGTTGTGTTGTGATACGTCAAAGAGTAAGAATCTCTGTCAGTCAGTTTTAATTTGTCAAAGAGTCAAATCGCTACTGTCAGTGTGATCTGTTAAACAGTTAAAAAGTCTGTCATTCTGTTGTGATCTGTCAAAAGTCAAAAAGGCTGTCAGTTTGTTGTGATCCGATATAGAGTAAAAATCTCTGTCAGTTTTGATCCGTCAAAGAACCAAAACCTCTTTCAGTCAGATGTGATCCGTTAAAGAGTAAAACCTCTGTCAATTGTTGTGCGCTGTCAAATAGTCATATTCTGTCTGTATGTCGTGGCGTGACTACGAGGCTTCGAAAAGGCTGTTCTGCTAGTTTTATCAATGAAAGAAATGGTAGGCTTAGCAAGTGCAAGAGGAGCGGAGCGGATGCATCTCTATCTGTCATATTTACCACATAGTTGGACAACGAATGCCCAGTGTATTGTATGGATGTGGTATGGGGTAGTATGATAGACTGACCGAGCACGAGCAGCAATATGGCGGCGGGCGGGTGCTCGCTGAGTCCGTCGCGCTCCTCCGCCGACAGCGGGGCCGCGCCCGCCGACGAGTGTCCGTGCTGGCTATGGTCCTGCACATTAACACATCGTGACATATTCATACATTTATTATAATAAAAATTGACCTTATAATCATTGTGATATTCAAAATCAATGCGGAAATTAAAAATAAGTAGGTGCTTATTACAATTTTGGTCCTTCGAGTCGAATCTCCTTCCTGCATAATATTGTTTTCCAAATGCTTATTCAGATTTTCTTCAGAATTAATAAATGTGGGCAGCGGCGGGGCGGATGCGATGGGGGCGTCGCTGGTACGGCGACGGGTTGCCGGGGCGGCGTAGGGCGCGGGGGAGAGGCGGGGGCAGCGTCCGACGCGAGCCTTTTGGGCGCGTGCAGGAAGGCGTTGTACATGTAGTAACTATGTGGTTGTACTAACGTGGTCGGCGTGAGCGGGCGACGGTGACGCAGTGTGCGGGCGCGGGGCGGGCGGCGGCGTGGGCGGCGGCGGCGCGGGCGCCGTGGGGGGCGGCGCGGGGGCGGGGGCGGGGGCGGGGGCGGGGGCGGCCACGGGGGCGGGGGCGGGGGCAGCTTCCAATGCGAGCCCCTTCTTGGGCGCGTCGCGGAGCGTCTGTTGCCGCCCCGCGTACTCCACTGGCAGCTCCGGCATCGTCTTAGCGCCCGCGTACATCGGTACCTCCTGCAAGCATAAAAATAAGTATGAGCATAACAAACATCCAACCCGAAATACGGTTATATCGACTACGGAACGATGTTACCTATTAAACTGGGGCCCGAGCATGACGAAGCACTAATTTTTTATAGCTCCATTATCGTATCGTTATCGTCAAATTTTGTATGGAAAAAGCTAGTCTGTCCTTAGGTCCGATAGGAGCGCCGCTTTCAAAATTTGTGCTTGAGCCTCTGTTTATTAGTTACTATAAGTTTGATGATGCTGTCTCGGGTGGACGCTCGAATTTGAAATCACAAATCGCTGCTTCCTATCTTTTTGGATACCTAGTCATTTCGTCACACGCAATCAAATATGTATGCGGTGATGCCTTGGTAACGCTGCTTGAACAACGCATGCAACATGATTAAAATTACAGTATGAATATAACAAGTTACCGGCGGTCTCGGCGGGACGGGCCAGGCGCGGCGCGGGTCCGGCTCGCCCCACACGCTGCTCGCGCCCCAATCCACACCTGCATAACGTTCACTCACAGTTAAGTCATATCTAGAATACATTATCTACTACCACTATACGATATGTATGAAATTGCAAACTGATTGACTATTGAATTACTTTTGGTTTAAAGGAAGGACTTTTGAATATTTCCTCTTCTAAGGATTATAAGTTAGAGGATGAAACTAACATCAAACTTCACCATTTTCGAAGGTAAGGGATGAATTTAAAATAATATCCGTTTTGTGGTAGGGTACCGGTCTGCTGCGGCCAGAGGCGGCGGCCCCAGGGCGGGTCGTAGGGCGCGTACTGCGGGGGCGGCGCGCCCTCCGCCTCCTGCAGCAGTTATGAGGACGCGGGTATGATCAAGCAGGTAGAGTACCGGTCTGCTGCGGCCAGAGGCGGCGGCCCCAGGGCGGGTCGTAGGGCGCGTACTGCGGGGGCGGCGCGCCCTCCGCCTCCTGCAGCAGTTATGAGGACGCGGGTATGATCAAGCAGGTAGAGTACCGGTCTGCTGCGGCCAGAGGCGGCGGCCCCAGGGCGGGTCGTAGGGCGCGTACTGCGGGGGCGGCGCGCCCTCCGCCTCCTGCAGCAGTTATGAGGACGCGGGTATGATCAAGCAGGTAGAGTACCGGTCTGCTGCGGCCAGAGGCGGCGGCCCCAGGGCGGGTCGTAGGGCGCGTACTGCGGGGGCGGCGCGCCCTCCGCCTCCTGCAGCAGTTATGAGGACGCGGGTATGATCAAGCAGGTAGAGTACCGGTCTGCTGCGGCCAGAGGCGGCGGCCCCAGGGCGGGTCGTAGGGCGCGTACTGCGGGGGCGGCGCGCCCTCCGCCTCCTGCAGCAGTTATGAGGACGCGGGTATGATCAAGCAGGTAGAGTACCGGTCTGCTGCGGCCAGAGGCGGCGGCCCCAGGGCGGGTCGTAGGGCGCGTACTGCGGGGGCGGCGCGCCCTCCGCCTCCTGCAGCAGGCCGCCCTTGTGGCTGAAGATGTGCGGCCCGCGCGACACCTCCATTACCGCTGCCAGTAACACATTCATATAATTAATTATTATACCCGGCCATTTGATGCCTGATAGACACATAAGATAAAGGCAGAGATATTGATTATTTTCCAGTGTGCCTTTTTATATTTTACGATGTACGGTAGCATAATGGTCAGTGCATCTATCTGGATAGTGGAGGGTGCGGGTTCGAGTCCTGTCTGCTGCCTGGTCCGCGTGTTTTTTTTAGTAATTTTTCTTTACATTTAAACATTTAGATTTTATATATATAACATCAAATGAATCCATTGAAAATGTGTCCCAAAGTATTTGGAAATTTTATAATGTTAATAGTTTTTTGAGTTTTCAGTGCGGCCGTTAAACTTGCGCTTGCATTATCTACTACCATTTTACTACAGATGCCCGAGAGCACGAATTTGGGCAGCTTCGTAATCGTATCGTCATCTTCAAATTTTGTATGGAACGAGCTAGTTTGTGCTAACGTCCGGTAGGGGCGCTGCTTAGTTCTCATAGGAACTTCGACGATGCGATACGATTACGAAGCTGTGTACTTCGTGCTCGGAGCTCAGATTTCTTTAAGCATTGAACACGAAGAGAGATTATAGTGTGAGTTCAGATGGGATGGGCGTGACGCGTCACCGAGTACCGTTGTAGCGGTGCGCGGGCGGCTGCGCCTGCGTGAGGCGGTGCGGCCAGCGCTCCTCCGCCGCGCCCCCCTGCTGCTCACCGCCCTCCAGCGCGCTCAGAGAGAGCAGATAGTGTGTATGAGTTCAGATGGGATGGGCGTGACGCGTCACCGAGTACCGTTGTAGCGGTGCGCGGGCGGCTGCGCCTGCGTGAGGCGGTGCGGCCAGCGCTCCTCCGCCGCGCCCCCCCTGCTGCTCACCGCCCTCCAGCGCGCTCAGAGAGAGCAGATAGTGTGTATGAGTTCAGATGGGATGGGCGTGACGCGTCACCGAGTACCGTTGTAGCGGTGCGCGGGCGGCTGCGCCTGCGTGAGGCGGTGCGGCCAGCGCTCCTCCGCCGCGCCCCCCTGCTGCTCACCGCCCTCCAGCGCGCTCAGAGAGAGCAGATAGTGTGTATGAGTTCAGATGGGATGGGCGTGACGCGTCACCGAGTACCGTTGTAGCGGTGCGCGGGCGGCTGCGCCTGCGTGAGGCGGTGCGGCCAGCGCTCCTCCGCCGCGCCCCCCTGCTGCTCACCGCCCTCCAGCGCGCTCAGAGAGAGCAGATAGTGTGTATGAGTTCAGATGGGATGGGCGTGACGCGTCACCGAGTACCGTTGTAGCGGTGCGCGGGCGGCTGCGCCTGCGTGAGGCGGTGCGGCCAGCGCTCCTCCGCCGCGCCCCCCTGCTGCTCACCGCCCTCCAGCGCGCTCAGAGAGAGCAGATAGTGTGTATGAGTTCAGATGGGATGGGCGTGACGCGTCACCGAGTACCGTTGTAGCGGTGCGCGGGCGGCTGCGCCTGCGTGAGGCGGTGCGGCCAGCGCTCCTCCGCCGCGCCCCCCTGCTGCTCACCGCCCTCCAGCGCGCTCAGAGAGAGCAGATAGTGTGTATGAGTTCAGATGGGATGGGCGTGACGCGTCACCGAGTACCGTTGTAGCGGTGCGCGGGCGGCTGCGCCTGCGTGAGGCGGTGCGGCCAGCGCTCCTCCGCCGCGCCCCCCTGCTGCTCACCGCCCTCCAGCGCGCTCAGCGAGCTCTCGCTGTCCACGGGCTCTCCCAGGACCTGTCGTCAATGTTACAGTTTGCCGCTCTAATAATCAAGATTCACGGCTGATACTAAAGGTAGAGTTTAGAGCCAGTATGTTTTGCGTCACTGTTTCCAAGGTGTAATGTTGCGTTTCGTTTATCAGAGATATGATTGTGAAGCGATGATTTGCAATGGACTTTTTTTAGATATTGTCTGCTAGCAGTTTCCCACTCGCTTCCATCGATATCACACGTCTCACGCTTGTTTTATATGTAGGTAAAAAAACCCACTCTGTTAAGCTATTTTCTATCAGAGCTGCGCTGACCGAGGCGTGGTGAATGAAGCGATTCTATTGGTTCTTTAAAAAAATATGCCTCGATACGCATCCGTGGACATTTATAGTGGAAACGCAGTCTAAGGCCCGTATTACAGAATGACAACTAAGTGTTGATCTTTACTTGAGTACAGATGGAAAGGGATGTCGCTATGTGCTATATATAGTGACACCTGAAGTTATCTAGTGCATCACAGAAACATTTGTACCATTAGGCCCCCGCCCGCTGAAGTCCGTCGCCCGCTCGCTGGTCGCTCACTGGGCCTCCCACATGGGTCTCACCCGGTGGGCTTGACCGCGCCGAGGGCGACGCCTGAAGAAGCGGAGGCGGGGGTATAGCCCCATTGACCGTCTCGTCCGAGAACGAGACGCGAGCCCGAAACGTCCAAAATGGCTCACGCCAGAGGATTCCCCGCACGCCGCGGCGCCTTCGGCGCCGGCGACGCGCGAGAAGAAGATACGAGAGTTGTACCATTAGGGATTCGAAGCCGGGGCCGCTGGATTCGCAGTCAGGATTACTAACCACTACCACTAGACCAAGCGGGTCGACAAATTGGAAGAAATCATTTAAACAACATTAACTGCTTGGGGTTTTAAACTTTAAATTCATGCGGGCTATTTAAACTTTACGGCTCTTTATATAGTACGTCATTTCGCCAAGTTAATCTATGGTTAAACTTTTTAATACAAAAGTAGGCTATAACTATCACAAAAAACGGCTTATAGTACCGTGGGTAGCGCGCCCCGATCGGGGCGTGTGGTCTTTATTGAGAATGACTACTGACCTGCATAGGCTTGATTTGCGGCGGCGGCGGAGGCGAGGGCGTGTAGTGGTGCGGCGGCGCGGTTGGGACGGGCGGGGCGCCGGGGGTGGGCTGGGGAGGGGCGAAGGGTGCGGGCTTCGGCGCGGCGGCGGCGGCGGCGGCGGCGGCGGGGCAGCCCAGCTCGGGCGCCTCGTCGCTGCCGTCCGCGCACTGCGGCACGCCGTCGCAAGCGTTGTACACCGCGATGCACTCGCCGCCGCGCCGGCACTCAAACTGGTAGCGGCTGCATCGGCCTGCTTTAAAACGAAACATCGATCGCTAGAGCATCATTTTATTTAACCAGGCAGGACCAAGATAGGGCAACGGTAATTAAAGTTAGGGCATAAGCGGGGGCTTACCGCCCTTCGCAGTATGCCGCCTCGTTTATTATGGACGTACTTATCCCAGTTCCTTGGTAATGCGGAAGTCTTAAGGCAGGGGAATGGTATTTTAAAGTAGGACATTGCCCCATATATATAATGAACCATGTAGGGACACATTATATTTTGTTGAGTAAACGTAATTCCTACATCATGCCTATACTTTGTTCATCAAATTGTATTGTGTATGTGTGTGTTGTTGCCACATTTGTATATTTTAATTTTAGTCGCAATACAGATAGGGCCCTGATATGTATACTACCAAGAGTCGAACTGATGAAATTTTGCTGCAGAAAGCAAGCTCAGATGTAAGGTTTAAAAAAAATCGTGTGTGCCAACTTAAATGTAAGCGGCGATGCAGATCAGAGTGACAGAGGAGGAGCCTGCCTACCGTTGCCGTATGCGTGAGAGGAAGGGAAGCCAGACAGACTGGCGCCGTAACACGTTAAGTAGCAAAGCAGTTTACCCTCCCATAAGAAGTTATCACTTCATAAGTCTGGGACTACCCACTTAATTTTTAATGGTCATATATGAAAACTTGAGTTTTTCTATATTATTGGGTATCCCTTAGTATAGAGCCTGGATTGCCCCCCCCCCCCCCCCTTCCGGGGGTAAATCAGTTATAATTCGGGGGTAACAAAGAACCTAATTATTTGGTCAAATCTAAATGCATGCGCTCCTTGCTAGCCCGCGGGGTGCTGAGTGTGGGAAGACGGGGCGAGATTTTCTCCTGATGATGAAATTAGTAGAGACAAAGATACAGCGGACAATTGGAATTTCTTGGACTGCGCGAAGTAGTACTTTCGAAGTAGAATTTCAAAATTTATGACATTAGCACATTTTAGATAAAATCAGGTGCCAAATATCCTGCTATAGCTAACAGAGCTTTAAAAATGATAATACCCTTTGCCACCACCTGCAGATGCGAGAGTGGTTTCAAGTTGAACTTTAGTTACCTCCATTAAAAACAAAGGCCAGAAACCGTCTTGTGACACAGGATTTGAGATGCACTTTAAGTAAAACTAAACCTAACATAAAAAACTTATAAATGCAAGACAATTTTGACTTTCACAATGATTATTATTATTATTTAATCCATAGTTTAATTAGGAAACAAGGTAAAATTGTAATCCACCTTCCCCTTTCCTTCAGAGGAACACGCGCGCTGGCCTAAGTTGTCACCGTCTAACTGCGGCCACAATTCCAACGCGTACATAGAATTTGGTGACCCATTTTTTTGTCGCACTATACGTAAATGCCCGCTCACGTGTTCCTTCCCTCTTACAACCTGGGATCCTTTAAAAGAGGCGTGAAGAAGCAACATGCAGGCCGGCAGGGTGAGGATGGCTGGTGTGACAGGTAGAACTGCTGTATCAGCTATCTTCACGTCTGGACTTCACCTTCACTTAACATCAGGTGGGGTGGAGTCATTTGTCGGATCTATCTATATAAAAAAAAATGATATAGTGCAACAGGGCTGGCTGGCTGACGCCACTACTGGTGACTATGGTAATAGGGGATGAAATTTTGTGAAACAAAGTAATGTTTTTTGTGGAAGATTAGTGTTGGTCGGTAATTAGATTTCTGTTGACCTAGAAAAGTTGAAAATTGTAGTGTTTCATCCGGACGGAAAGTTTAATATCTTTCAAGACAACTGATTTGAATATTAAGATGTCTACATCGTCACTGGTCGTGGTCGAGACCGCAGGACAGTTAATCACGGTGGTCATTGTGCAATTTGATGATTTAAAAACAGGTTCGGCTGCTACAGATTGTAAAACTGTGCGGTTCAGTGAATTGACCTTTAGCAAGGTGGAGCATCATTCCTCTCGATCGCTTTAGGACCGTCCAATCATGAGGAGGAAAATCTGTTGAGCTAACATTAAAAACTGAATTAAAGCAATAAAATTTATGTGTATGTACATATATACAGGGTGTTTCATTTTGGTTTTATTTTAGGGTGTCAAGCCGTGCAGGCTGATAGCAGAGTACCATACCTATCAATTTAACCCCCATGTATGTTCTACGATTTTTGGTAGTTTGCGAGTTAGCAAAGTTAGCAACTTGGAAAAAGTATAACTTTTTTTTTAGTCCACTTTTCTTCGATATTGTTTTTTAACAGAATGCCTATTGTTTGTATTTTTATAAGTAAAATAATCTCCTTCCTTACTTTAACCTAAGATATAACAATTTTGATAGATACTAAATAAAAATGGATTAAGTAACACAGAATGGATTTTCAATTAAAATAAAAATAGATGTTCCATAACTTCTGACTAATTTTAAAAATATACAGTCGAACATAGAACCTCCTCCTTTTTTGAAGTCGGTTAAAAACTGCCCGAATTCATAAGCTTTCATAAAAATACAAAAAAAGATATACTAAATTGAGCATTACTTGCTGCAATCTGTCGTTGAAGATGTTGTATCGGAAATCATGTTTTTTTTTATGTTATAGGTACATACAACTTGCAACACCAGGAGTATCACAAATGCGATGCCGGACTTTAAGGAAGGAGTACGCTCTTTTTTTGAAGGTTTTTGGGTCGTATTGGTCCGGAAACACTGCTGGCGATTATTGTGTCGTATTGGTCCGAAAACACTGCTGGCGATAACTGTGGAATATATTAGATACTAGATGTCGCCAGCGACTTCGTTTGCGTTAACTTAGTTTCTTGAAAATCCCTCTGGAACCTAACATTTTTTCGGGATAAAAGTAGCCTATGTGTTAATCTAGGGTGTCAGCTAACTCCATACCAAATTTTATTAAAATCGCTCCAGCCGTTTAGACGTGAAGAAGTAACAAACATACACACTCACAAACTTTCGCCTTTATAATATTAGTGTGATTCCAAGGTTTTGTCGTACGTGGTAAAAAATTTCGACAAAAACGCACGATTGTGTAATTTTAATATTTTATAATATCGTAGTATCTTTGCATATTTTGTCAATCTTAAATTTTATTATTCTTTTTAGTTTAAGTGGAGCTCATTATAAAATAAAAATAATAATTTTATGACAACTAATCACTCAAAACTCCTTTTCGGCACAGGTATTATTATTTTACGCTTAAATAAGGAAGTGTCTACTCGTATGTCGAGGACTCTTGATTGAGCTTCATATTAAGGTTGTTTGTGAGTGATATTATGCCTCGAGATTACTCGCATTGCTCGATGATCTGGATAAATTTCGGGCTGTCGTCCTTCTCTGCGTTGTAAATATTTGCGAAACATCCTTGCGCCAAGTGAAGCATTTACACACGCGTACCCGTAGAAATAATGCATTTGCGCGTAATCTTGCGATGAAAATTCGTAATCTTGAGGTATGATATCACTCACAAACAACTTTAATATGAAGCTCAATCGAGAATCCTCGACATACGAGTAGACACTTCCTTATTTAAGCGTAAAATAATAATACATGAGGAGGAGGACAACCTGTTATCCTTATCTCAAAACTCCTGAGTTTTGAGTGATTAGTTGTCATAAGCTCCACTTAAGCTAAAAAAAAACTTAAGATTGACAAAATATGCAAAGATACTACGAAACTATAAAATATTAAAATTACGAGACACCTTCAACGACAGATTTCAGCAAATAATGCCTAATTTAGTACATCTTTTTTGTATTTTTATGAAAGCTTATAAAGTCGGGCAGTTTTTAATATTAGTCAGAAGTTATGGAACGTCTATTTTTATTTTATTATTTTAATTGAAAATCCATTGTGTTTTACTTAATCCATTTTTATTTGGTATCGATCAAAATTTTTACATCTTAGGTTAAAGTAAAGAAGAAGATTATTTAATTTTTACTTATAAAACTACAAACAATAGGCATTCTGTTAAAAAAAATCGAAGATAAGTCGACCCAAAACAAAGTTATACTTTATCCAAGTTGTCCCATTGTTGAATCGTAAAAAAATACGAAAAAAAATCCAACTCGAAAACTACAAAATATCGTAGAACATACATGAGGGTTAAATTGACAGGTATGGTACTCCGCTATCAGCTCGCACTGGCTTGACACCTTAGAAGAAACACCCTATATATACCGATTCGATCAATTGAATCGGACTGACACAATATTAATTTCATCAAATTAACGTTAGTGGAACGTACGTAAGCAACATGTTTAACAGTAAGTAACGGCAACGGCCTCTGGATGTGACAAATCTGTTCACTGACAAGAAGCTCGAGGCTCTGCGAGTGAAGTCATTAGTAAAGCGTCGCTAACTAACCGAGGAGGGGTTTGCTGAACTCTAATGATGTTATCTGCGTCTGCGCGAGGCAACGCGCAGTGACTCAGGCGCCGCGGGCTACTCATATTTTTTTTCTGTGAGCATTTTTACTGGCTAGAGGCCATGATCGAGGGCTCCGATGACTCATCATCAGAACAAAACAAAAGCACGGCGTTGTATTTAAATGTGCTTTCGTACGTAAAATACAGGTGAAACACACAAACCTATTACATATTTATTTGAATAGAATCACTAATGTATTATTATAATAACAGATATATCTCCCTCCTTATATAATGTTCATTTAATCTAAACCTAAAGAATTTTTTATCTATGTTCGTCATGTTGAATGAAATCATTGTTCAAACAACACGTCTCATTTTCGTTCACGAGAAAATAACAAGATTTTACCGCTGAACTAACACAATCATAACCCGATAGCGAATAAATTAAATGACGGCTTTACCCAGGAATTTGCCCACCCTTCCTTCTTCGAAAACCTCTTAATGGGAATAAAATTCCTGTAAATATATCCGGAGGGAGACCAATTAGAACCACATATTACGGTTCGGTCTGTTGTTTGTTACGGATAATCATACAGAAACCTGACATGTTTCCGGGTAAAAAGATTTCTTTGTTTT